TTTTGAACCTAAGCTTAGTGTTTAAACACGTTTCCTCAAAAAAGGGTATCGATTTGGAAAAATATTTTGTCATTATTTATTATATCAAACCCCATTTTTCAAATTGAGTGCAATATTACGGTTCCAAAATCGACCCGCAGTGGGGCAGACTACAGTTTATTTACGAAGGTTATCGTGGTCGAGAACATGGTCACAAATTGTGGAATACCCAGTAAGGCTCGAATACAGTCATCGTAGTAGCAGTAGTTGATTGCTAATCGTTGCTCTTCGGAAAAGAAACCCAAAGTAAAAAATAAAAATAAAAAAAGAAAACATATGACAATACCTGCTGTCCCCAGTCATCCACGAAATACTGATCAGGTCTGACAATATTTTAGTTATCGACCAAGAAAGGCTGATTACAGACTAATTTAAGCTAATGAGATTTTTCCGTCTCTTTTTTTTCTTCTAATAATTAATTCACATATAGATATGAATGTTCAGTGGAAGAGTATACAGACAGTTTAGGTAGATGCTTATATTAAATTTACATAAATATAATCGGAAAAAGAATCAGCAGACAGTTATGTATATTTATAAACATTAAATTCAGATGTCTATATCTGTATGAATAAACTGTAAGACAAATCACCAGAATATATATATATATATATATATATATATATATATATATATATATATATATGAAATAGACAATGTCCGACAATTATTTAAGGACATTTTTATGTTTAAAATTCTTTTTATAGATACAAGTAAGTGCTCTGTTTACTGTAATAAACAGTATTAAATAACATTTACCGGCCTGAATGTCCGAGAAATTTTCATAGAAAATATTCATCCTTCGACAGGATTCGAACCCTGTATCCTATACGGAACCGTCATATAGCCTGACGTGCCACAAAGGATCGTTCGGTTGGCAAGGTCGAATTTACTGCTTATAAACCTCGACCTTGCCAACCGAACGATCCTTTGTGGCCGTGCGGTAAGGCACGTCAGTTATTGTTTATTTTTGAAAAAAAAGAAAGTGGGGGGGGGATAAAATTAAATAAGTAAAGGAAAATTAGAAATTTCAAATTTAAATTATTACTGGAGACACTGCTCTGTTTCTGATAACGCTTGCCAGGTCCAAGGGAGATAAGCAGTATGAAACCTAAGGCTGAATAAAAGAATAATTTAAAATTTAATGAAAATTTAATAAAAAAAGAGGAATATATATATACAAGGGTTGGACAAAATAATTGGAACACTTGTTAAATTCAAAGAAAATTTATTTAATATAGAGTTGGTCCTCCTTTAGCCTCACAGTCAGTTTTTATAGGTCTAGGAATGGAATCATACAGCTTCCTAACTTCATCAAGAGGAATTTTCAGTCATTCTTCCATTAAAACCTTTTCCAGCACTTTACGACACAATGGTGGAGGATAGTGGCTCCTAACTTATTGCTCCAAAATGCAACACAAATGTTCAATAATATTGATATCTTGAGATTGGGGAGGCCACTCCATGTGTTCTAGCTCACTTTTATGCTCTTCATACCACTTCTTAACCACTCGAGTGGTATGTATTGTAGCATTATCGTCTTGGAAGATGCAGTCACCATCAGGGAATAAAGTCTTGGCCATTGAATGAACATGATCTCCCAAAATCTTGCTGTTGATTCTACCATGCAGGGTAACAATTGGACTGAGACATTTCCATGATATGGCAGCCCAAACTATCACTGATCCACCCCCATCCTTCACTGTTGGAAGAAGGCAGTCAGGGTTGTAAGCTTCTTTGGGCTGCCTCCACACATAATCTCGCCTTGAAGTTGGGAAAAGAGAAAAACTGGACTTGTTTGAGAATATGACTTGCTTCCATTGGTCTGCAGACAAGGCATTGTGATCTCTGTACCACTTTAACCTCTTTTGAATGTTGCGAGTGGAGAGAAGAGGTTTCCTCAGAAGAGCTCTTCCATGATATAGAGCCTTATGGGGCTCACGGTGAACAGTTTTAGTAGAAACTGAACTATTCAGATGGTTATTCAACTCAACAGTCACTTTGGCCCCATTTGTCCGATGATTTTTTGTCACATTGCGTTTCAATGCACGTCAGTCCCTATCAGTAAGTTTGCAAGTCCGGCCCGAATTCCTACGGTTGCTAGAGATTTTGCCCTGTGTCTCGAATTGCATCGGTGTCCTTGATATGGTAGCACTTGAAAAACCAAACAGTTCAGCAACCTTAGTAATCGAGGCTCCTGCAATGCGAGCTCCAACAATTTGCTCTTTTTCAAACTTGAAGAGGTCACGCATTTAGCTTAGATTTTACTAAATTCTAAAAATAAATAAGACAAAGACAGTAAATTAGATAAATAAACGTCTTTACAATAGATATAACCTGCAATTACAAAGTTTTAGTTAAAGTTCTTAATATAATAGGTCTTTGAAATATAGGAGTGGATTTGCAACTGTTTCTATTATTTTGTCCAACCCCTGTATATATATATATATATATATATATATATATATGTGTATATGTGTGTGTGTGTCTGTGTGTGTAGATATATATATATATATGTGTGTGTGTGTGTATATATATATATATATAAATATATATTTAGTGGCTGTCGGCTCACAAATCGAGTATGACCATCACTGCCAGGTCCAGACCTTCAGTTAAACTCCTCCTACTCACCCAAAAAAACACTGCAATCATCTGTTGTGTGAACGACTGTGGCTCATAAAGCCAGTCATTGATCTGAATTTCTTGTCACATATGTGGTATATCAAATCTTTGATCATCATCACTTCCAATGTGCCTTTTCATATACCGTGTCAAGCCCGACTTTAACTTGCACACCCCAGCATGCCATTAAAATATCGTCATATACAATAGACTGTTATATGTGAACATCCATCCATACATCTCTCTCTCTCTATATATATATACATATATATTGTATATGATATATATATATATACATCTTTTTATACTATATATATATATATATATATATATATATATATATATATATATATATATATATATATATATATATATATATGTGTGTGTGTGTGTGTGTGTGTATAATATAAAAGGCTGAAGCACTAATGTTCCATGGTTATAATATATATATATATATATAATATAAAAGGGTGAAACACTAATATTCAATGGTTATAATTTATTACATTGAAATCGTAACACATACAATTTTACTGAAAATTTTATTTTTTAAAACCCGGAGATATATTTTCTGTTTTCTTCTTGAATTTGTAGGTCTGATGAATTGGATGATGATTATGATATCCAATGTAATAAATTTTAACCATGGAATATTAGTGCTTGAGCCTTTTACAATATATTTTTGCTTTGCCTTGTACACAGAGCTCTAACTCCTTGGAAATATATATATTTTGACCACTGATATTACCAACATTCTTTATCTTAAGATATTATATGTTTAAGATATTATATGTTTTCGATGTAATATCCTAAAATAAAGAATGTTGATCTACTTTTGTATGGACCCTCCCTTTAAATGGAATGTTACAAAAGTCAGGATTGGACTGTATTCATTAACATTTTCATATATATATATATATATATATATATAAACAATAGTTTATCACCACAGAATTTGTATATTGTCTTAAATGTACAAAAACGCATTCTTTGAAGGATCCTTTTTCGACCAACACTTCTTCAGAAGAATACGTTGGCACTTTCTTAGATAAAGAAAATGAAACAAATTCACAGAGCAAAACCAGAATATATACACGCAGGTTAAATGATGAATCACGACTAAAACTGAAATTTATTATTCAAACGAGGAGAAAAAAAAAGAGAAAAAGAATATGGCAATAAACCAAAGTAGATAAGTTCCTAGTGAGTATAAAAGAAAATAAAATTCAATTTCAAAAATTTTACACAGCTCTTGTAAATGAAACAGAAAACGAAGAAAATATACTTTCTCTCTTCACAGAGACGGTCGATGGAACTTTATATACATTGCCTCTAAGATTCTAAAGTGTTTGAATGACCGTGTTTTGCATAAAATGGTAAATGCTCTATCCGTGTATTTGACAACACATCTTGGATTGTCCGTCAAAATGCTGCCCGATAGCAAACTCACAAGCCGTCTTCATCAACCGTTGTTATATATATATATATATATATATATATATATATATATATATATATATATATATATATATATATATATATATATATATATATATATATATATATATCCATCTAAAATTTATATATATATATATCCAGTGTATATTTATATATATATATATATGTGTGTGTGTGTGTAAAATTTATATATATATATATGTGTGTGTGTGTGTAATTTATATATATATATATATATGTGTGTGTGTGTAATTCATATATATGTAATATTCTTGAGGAATCGCATTCAGTCGAATCCCACTTGCGTTCACCCCTTGGGAAAGGATGGCAACTGGTTCTATAGGGATGGCAACTGGTCTAGGACAACTCTGAATTCAAAACCTGCGGAGGATCGTTTGGGAACCTTGTGGCATGCATTCGGTGCACCAGGTTTCTGTATTCGTCCCTCCAAAAAGTGTGGCTGGTCCTGCACAAGGCCTTCACCACTATAAACAAATCTCATGTGCCGGTGTCGGGATGTCGGTTTCCTGGGGACTTATCGGCCTGACCCTCATACGTCGAACGCGACGGGAGAGTCGATTATATATATTTCATTTATATACTATATCTGCGCGGTACTTATTGGAAAGCGGTCAGTATCAGTGATAGACCCAACATATTTAGTTGGATTGTTTTGAGTTTGTGACTCTGGGTTTCACGACCTTGCGATCGTCAGACACACTCTCTATATATTTATAAACTCTGCATGTTAAATTTTATTTTCTTTATATATGTACTGTGCACTTTAATGCAACTGATTTCTGGTTCAACTCCACCCTGACCAATAACTGTTATATATATATATATATATATATAAAGGGTGCTACCACCCGTATATATTATATATAATTTCCCGATAAGTCCATAGATAGATAGATAGATAGATAGATATCAAGGATGAAGAGGAAGAATTTATCCAATAGCGTTGAATGACCTGACCTTGGGATCTGCTACCACCCCCAAACTGACTTTTCTTTTATTCTGTTTATTGTTAAGATGGACCTGTCAAACAATAGATGTTTTTTTGAATGAGGTTTTAACCTTCTCCACCACGTTCTCATCTCGTTATCACCAGCCATAGTTAATTTCACGAGGTGCTCTCCCGAAAAGAAATATAGAAAACAGGCCTTTCTGCCAGATGTTTGATTTTTGGCGAGATACTGAAAACTTGGATAGATAGATAGATAGATAGATAGATAGATAGATAGATAGATAGATAGATAGATAGATCAACTGACTGATGAAGAGGAAGAATTTATCCAATAGCGTTGAATGACCTGACAGACTGGGATCTAGATGGAATATAAATAGTATTACAACAGACTGAATAGATTGAATGGGATATTCTCATTTATTAGATTAATGTGTTAGAACAGACTGTTCGATAGATAGATAGATAGATAGATAAGTGTCAAAGAACAGACTCCGCTGATTTTTGACTGAGATGGATAGATGGATTTAATAGATAGATATGAACCTTCTCTCAGACTGACGATTCATATAGCATCTCGTTATCAACAGACTGAGATAGATGGATGTCATAGTTAATTAGATAGATAGATATAAACAGACTGAGATGATAGATATGAACTGACTGAGAGAGATGGATGAGATAGATGGATGGATAGAAACAGACTGAGATAGATGGATGGATATAGATAGAATAACAGACTGAGATAGAATAGATAGATAGATAAAAAAAAATGAACAGTTGATAGAAAACAGACTTTTTTTTAATGGATAGATGAATATGAATAGACTTCGAAGGGGAATGATTCAAAAGATGAATTTGAAATGTTTGGCGAGATATAGAAAACTAGATAGATAGATGAGACAATGATGAACCTAAATAGATATGAACAGACTGTTAGAAATACCGAAAGATATAGATAGATAGATAGATAGATATGAACAGACTGATGAGATACATAGATAGATAGATAGATAGATATGAACAGACTGAATGAGATAGATAGATAGATAGATAGATAGATAGATAGATATGAACAGACTGAGATAGATATGATAGATGAACAGACTGAGATAGATAGATAGATAGATAGATGAACAGAACAGACTGAGACTGAGATAGATAGATAGACTGAGATAGATGAGATGAACAGATAGATAGATAGATATGAACAGACTGAGATAGATAGATAGATATGAACATGTAGACTGAGATAGATAGATAGATAGATAGATAGATATGAACAGACTGAGATAGATAGATAGATAGATAGATAGATAGATAGAGAGAGAGAGAGAGAGATAGATAGATAGTGTCATGGGTCCTTACTTATAACTACAGAATGAACTCTTTCTAACACTATGTATACTATGCCTCTCAAGAGAGAGGGACGAATCGAGTCGAGCCGATAGTAGTTCACTCCAAACCAGACTGACAGTCATACTAACACCTTCTACATCTTGTATTATTATTTCGTCTAATATACCTTCGTTATTTCTACTCTTATGTCCGTGTTGTTCTTCCTTTGTTCTAACCCGGACTATAACAGATACATAGATATAAACAGACTGAGATCGATAGATAGATAGATAGATAGATAGATAATGAACAGACTGAGATATCTATCTATCTATCTATCTGATAGATAGATAGATTGATAGATAGATAGATGGATAGATAGAAAGATATATAGATAGATCCTGTGAACATAGGCATACATACTTTCTGTCGATATATTTTTCGGCCTTCATCAAGCATATTTTACACCAGTTCTTTCATTATCATCACCCAGTTTTCTTTCTTCACTAAATTCAGTGGAACTTCTCTCTGTGTCTTTCAAATTAAATTTTCTCACGAAAACAAGATTTTCATCCCATGACAAATATCTCAACTTCACACCAGTGCAGTAAAATATAACATACATGGGAAAAGCCAAAAGAGAACATCGATAAAAATATTAGTGATGAAATTCCTAAAGTGACTGATCCTTCCAGTGTTAATTCCTATAAATTTTTCATTTCGTATTTCTTCCATCGTATCTCAGTTTCATACTATCGTAAATATCAGCCCCAAAATAACTATGTTTAATCTAAGAAAATGCAAAAAAAATATTGCTTTTACTAACACTAATATCGAATATAAAGTCTTCGTGTTTTTTAAGACTAAGTCTTTATCGAGGCTTCCAGTTTCACGCTCATATATCGGTTTCTCTATGCTGTTTAATAGCTTTAACAAGTAAAAACTCAAGGTAGTTGGCCAAAAGACTGGACACTTGGAAAATCTCGTTCCCATTTTCTGTGAACGTGTCGGAGTTATCTCCTCCTAAATTCTGACACCACCACTTGGTGGAGCTATCCCTAAATTATATATACTTGAGAATAATTCTCTCTATCTCTCTCTTTCTCTCTCTCTCATTTTTCCGAGAGCTACGACCATGTAAGCTCTCGCAGAAGATAACGCGTTCCCACTTGTGGGAAGACGCCATATGAACACACACACACACACACACACACACACACACACACACACACACACACACACACACACACACACACACACACACACACACGAACATTCACTCACGCATTTCTTGGAACACAAGTTTCACACAATTATTTGTTACAGATACACATCATTGTTTTTTGTAATTTGTATCTGTTTGTTTGTTAATACACATATAATTGTTCATATATATATATATATATATATATATATATATATATATATATATTCCTGTTGCATGAGTTCTTATTATTTTTACAAGCTTTCGTCTGTTCATACAGATATCCTTCTAAGTTCATGCCACTTTGACAGAAAATTTACCAGTAAAAAAGAATTCGCTTATCACCATATGTGTATAAGAACGCACAATTGTAAAATTTAAATTCAAACTCAGCGTTGCGACAGCACGCTCCAAAAACAATAACTCATTTCTAATAGCATTTTTCGGATTACAACAGTACATATATTTTCGTTGTCCTCTTATTACTGAGAGAAAAAAACAAGAACAAAATCTATTCCATACCTGAGGATGTCTGTATGAACAAGCGAAAGCTTGTAAAAATAATAAGAACTCATGCAACAGGAATTTATAGAAACAAGGATCTTTTCATTCATAAACAGGTTCGGGGTTGTTTATTATTTGAATTGTTCGCGACCATGGATTTCTCGCCAATTAAATCATTAACCTTTGTATTTGTTTTTTGTATGAATAATTCATGAATTTGTAAATTAATTGCACCTTTATTGAAATATATATATATATATATATATATATATATATATCGGTATTGCTTGTTTTCTTTTACATTTCTTTTGGGTGGACTCATCATGAGCCCGCCATCTTTGTAGTTGACTTTATTTTAGGAAATCACACGTCTTCATATCACAACGCGTAAGTCCGCCATATTTTTGTAGTGGGCTTTTTATTTCAGGAGTTCCATACGTGTTTCATTCACAACGCATATTATACCCACGGTCCGCTACAAACGCTTTAATATGATAACATTTCGTTGTTAGGATTTGAAACCGATTTTCTATTTTTTTTTTACTCTCACATCAAGCGGGTGTTGCACTGTCCATCTTGTAGGCCAACTTTTGAAAATGGTGAATCAGTAAAAAAGAAAAGAACATGGCGGATAAAGAAGCAGCGTATTACGTGGTTCAGCCGACAAATAAATCATCTACCGAAGCTGCTACAGCTGCTGGCTTTCATTTCTCGTGTATCGGTTAAAAAGCAAACGCCGAGCATTGATCAAATATTTATGCTGTCCATTCATGTTGTTTTTACTTGCATCCTTCCCCCAAAATCTCAGAAGCCTAACAAATATGTACATTTTGGATCTGATTGTATTTCAGGAATAGAGAGGCGTCTGAAAATAGATGCTTTCTAATTTGTCTTTACAAATGTTATATTTAATCGTTTCTTGCCGGCGGCAATCAAGAATCTTACAAGAAGGATGCAGTTGAGCACGAATAGATACACGCACAAGTTGTGCAAACAATCAAGATTTAGGCTGCTTCTATGAAGACCGCTCAGTCAGTCAGTCTACTCTAATCTATTAACGTCTCTATAACTATTTTAATACTGACTTCCTGTGTATATATAGATTAAAATATTCGATTACGTCTTCCGAGCAAACTCGTCTACTATGGCGGCTTAGACAATCCTCGTCGCAGGCACCTGCTCAGGTACCTTTTGTGTTTGTTCAACACCCACAGAGCTCGCCTGAGGTTTGTACTTCAACTGTGAGAGCGCATAAATCCCTCATGTTCAGCAGCTTGAACAACACCAGTACACTCAAATCCTCGGTCACGATGACTTGTGACTTTCAGCTGTCGCAATCAACGACGTCTTCGCTCAACACGTGCTATTGTTTTCAGGCAGCTTCTAAAGCTGGTGAAGGCTGGGATCCCCATACCGATAGCATCAAGAAATCGCCTTCCTGACGAATCGACCATCACTGGATCCGAACTCGGGTTTCATTGTCGGAAAGCGAATGCTGTAATCATTCCGCTACTCGGTCATATTATTCATTAACATGTATAAATATATTAAAAACGAAATGCTTAGAGCGAACCCTTTCTCAAAATCATCTGTCTAATTGAACAAATAAGACATTTTTCTTACAAAGGCGTCTTTGTTAGGTTGAAAACTATTCAAAACCTTCTATATATATATATATATATATATATATATATATATATATATATATATATATAAATAATTTAAATAAAACAGACCATAACATGGAACCTTAAAGTGGTCTGTTTTTATTTAAATTATTTGCTCTGAATTCACATTGAGCTCTCTGGATTTTATCCTCCTTGGATTTACCCATACGGATTATCTAGTTTTTTATATATATATATATATATATATATATATATATATATATATACATATATTACCCAAGATCCTAATGTACAGCCAGTTAGATCAAGGCTACAGGAATGTAGGACGCCCATGGCTAAGATACAAAAACAATCTGAAAAGCAACTTGTTAGCAGTCAATATACCACATAACACCATTGAGCGCTTAGCTTTGGAGGGGGTAGAATGGAGATCAATGCGTTTTAGTGGACTCAGAAATTTTTCAATCTGCTTGTGTGAATCATCTTTAAGAAGCGAGAGAAAGATCTAAAAGGTCAGTCAATCTAACAGTGTTCTCATCTCACAATCCTCACACTTCCTCCATATGTGGCCTCCTTTATAAATCACTAGCGGGTCTTAAATGCCACTTAAGATTATCGCACAAACTTTTATAGCTGAATCAAGTAAGCTGTCAGATCCTCATACGTCGAAACCGATTATATATATATATATACACACACACAAACACACACACACACACACACACACACACACACACACACACACACACACACATATATATATATATATATATATATATATATATATATTGTTGTGGCATTTTAGGGGCCATAAGGAAATACACGGAAAGAAGAAGGTAGGTTGAACAAGTGTATTGAAATAAGAAGTAACATAACATATATACAAACTAAGAGTGTTATTAGTCAGCAGATAGAAGTGTCCGTCCGAACTCTCAGGTTACACTGCGTCCCGACTGCCTCCTTTCGGAAGTCTCGCAGGTTAGTATTTATGAAGGAGGAAGAGTTCATTGGAATTTAGATAGGTCACCATAACACACACACACACACACACAAAATATATATACATATATATTCAGCATCTTCTCATATATATATATATATATATATATATATATATATATATATATATATATATATATATCAGACAGAGGATGTCTGTGTGTCTGTTTCTCTGTCTGTATGATACCTTTTCACTCGAGATCAATCCAACCGATTTTGACCAAACTTTGAATATACATTGTATAATGTAAAAGGTAGGTTCTTAGCAAAAGAAAAAAAAAATCGAAAATTTAAAAAAATCAATAATCAATAAAGCCGGTCAAAAATCGATAAATTCAATTTTGTCCCTCCGATTTCGTTCAAACTCGGTATATAAGTTACTTACATCATAACGAGCTTAACGATACCTCATTATTTTTACTACGTCACTGCGTTTAGCGAAAAACCACGAAAAATGAAAAATCAATTTCAGCCCAAATCGATTTCAACAGAAATTTTAAACTAAAAACTCCCTCAGTTTCCAGGCAATCTAATAAAAACATCACTCAATTGTAGCCAACAATAAGTTGATTATTCAACAGCCATTTAACTTGATAACTGAGTCCACCCATATACTGAAAACGCGCGTAAATAGCGAAAAACGGCCATTTTTAATGTTTTCTTTCTTATTTTTCGTTGATCTTTC